TAACAATATGGTGTGGCCCTCAGTATGGTTGCGGTCTCCTTTCGTTGTATAGAAGTTGTTTGACCTTGTTTTAACAACTTAGTCCTATTGGCAGGGTAACCTAAGGGAACGCCCTTTGTTCGGAGTCCATATTATGCTCGATAATTTCCAGTCGCACAGTTAAGTTGGTACATTCCCAGACGTTTCGCCTGCATCGTCAGTCAGCCTTGCCATTCTTAGCACCACGTCACAACTCGTCAAGAAGACAAGTGAAGTCGATTATTTGGTCTGCTAAACAGTTATGGTATCTATCCTCTCCTGGTGTATTCAGCTATCCTATATCCTAATAACATCGCTTCACTATCACATTTGCTTACTTATTTAAGCTTGACGCACAGTTAAGTTGGTACATTCCCAGACGTTTCGCCTGCATCGTCAGTCAGCCTTGCCATTCTTAGCACCACGTCACAACTCGTCAAGAAGACAAGTGAAGTCGATTATTTGGTCTGCTAAACAGTTATGGTATCTATCCTCTCCTGGTGTATTCACCTATCCTATATTCTAATAACACCGCTTCAAAATCACATTTGCTTACTTATTTAGGCTTGATTTAGGCGTGCCCTTTTTGAGCGGATCTAGTGAGACCTATTTACAATTTTCGTTTGTTTCCACATCTCTACGCTGTATTTGGAGTATTAATCTAAGACTGCCGCTAAGTCCGCAATCATCCTCTAGGTCCCATTAGTCTCCACCTTGCTCCGTAGGATCCGTCTTATCTTCTTGGTTCAGTGATTTCACTTGATCGCTGCCATCATATCCGTGCCACTGGGGGCGTTACGTCCTACATTCTGCTTCAAGCCTTTTGATAGCACATATACCCTAGCCTCACTAGACAAGCCCCAAAGTCTCGATTATGAAGTAGCATGGAGACCTAACTTGACGCCGCAGGTTCCCTTATAACGAGATTTACTCAGTGCACATCCCGATTATTTTAACAGAAAATATGTGAAGGATATCGAGTTAGCTCTGCAGATCCGTCAAATAGTAGTCATAGTTAAAAATTAAATTTTACTGACGAAAGCCAAGTATATATAGAGGTATAGAGGTATGCGATAATTTGTCTATTTCACTGTTCAAATAAGTTTATTTATTTTACTTCTTTACTGACGGGAATGTTTTGTGCAAGCCCCTCGAAACTTCATCTGCCCACAAAAATGTTTGGCATCTGGCAGCAGGGTTGCCTGTAACTCCTTGTGGCCTAGAGCAGACCCAAAATTGGCGACCAAAATGGTTTGAGCCGGTTCGCTTTACGATCCTCAAGACACAAGGTTCTTGGTGGCGGAAACAGAGAGGTGGCTTTGATGGACATGCAAGCAGATTGCGCCAAGCTAACTCAGTGCGCCGGGCTCGATCTGCATCAGCAGCATCGCAAATAGCTAGAAGGTCGGATTGGGACATGGTTGTGAAAGTGTCAGCATTTTTGGAGCCTCCTTCAAGTGTTGCTATTGACTCGACACAGGGTGCGACCTCCTCAGAGAGTGATGCAGAGGACTGTCGTAGAGGAAAGGTTGATCGGCTAGAGACGAGTTTGCTGTACGGCTCCGAGGGGTCGGACGATATGTCTGACAAAAGTAAGCACACGAAGAAAAAGTGTTTTAGGGAAATCCCATAGTCTACAGCTGCTTTGCTCACTTATTTAATTGCATGGAAAAATGATGTTCCAAATGACACAAATACATATGAACTAATAGCGAAAGGTCCCGATGAGTTTTAATTCTACAATTATGGGTGCACTCACTGTGCGTAAGCAACAGAGAAATTGACGTGAAAAGCCTGCGCTTATAGTTTTTAAATTTTGCATAAAAAGAGTGTCTTCAAAACTGATTTCTAATAGTAAAGGAAATGTAGTGCATACACTTTCACGATTCCTATGCAAACAATTAAGGAAGATGGATAAATTTGGTAAGGAATTTATGTCAATTGGTAGATATGCCAACGGATGACCTTTTTCGTAAGCTTCGATCTGATATCAGCATTCAAGTTGGAGGATCTATTTACAATACTGGCAAAAAATCCTGAAAAGTACCAAGTTATCATGATAAATATGAGAGAATGCGTTCATCTATGCTTAACAACGCGATAAAATCGCGAAAACGAGGTTAGACCGCTATAATCCCTATCTTTGCGAGCACCCAGATATTATGGAGGAAATTTCAGTGTTAAGACTAAATAACCTATCCACAAGTAGCGCGTACCCACCGTCTAGAGATGTTTCATAATACTAAGTGGTTTGACCTTGTTTTCCCAGCTTGGCCATGTAGGCAGGGAGACCTATTTTAACGCACCTTGTCCGGAATGGTATGATTGAAAATAAACTAATAACAATGGAATATATAATATAATAATGATAAAAAAGCGGTCAACTTTTAGAGGGAAATTTTACCTAATATTCAGATCGGGCTGCTATAAAATAATATGCTCGAGCAGTCAAGCGTCACCCAATTGGATAGAAGATAGCTGAACATAAAAATGCCGGTAGAGGTTATTTGGTTTATAGATCAGAGGAAGAGAAAGTCAAGGCGGAACCTTGATAGTAAAAATAATCATCTCAAGAGAATAAAACTTAAATAATCTTCTCTGATTATCATTATAATTGCAATTACACTTGCATTTGTGCTCACACGAAGCAAATACATTCAATTAGGCGTGTCCGAGAGACGATTAGAGGAATGGTTAAAATAAGCGAAAACTCAGCAGATTTTAACCAAAACCGAACGACAGCTTGGAAAAAGAAACTCAGTGTATCCTCAAGTAAGAAATCTACCAATCC